CATGGTACATTTCCCTATAATTTCCCTTCATTTTCTTACACATTCCCTTTTAATTTCCCTCCATTTCCTGGTATATTTCCCTTTACTTCCTGGTACATTTCCCTATAACTTCCCATAATTTCTGTGATATTTCCTGGTTCAAATAGTTCCGATAATTTAATTGCCACCAAATGTGCGCGATGTATGCCCCTGTTCGATGGCAGCCGTCGCTATGCTGTTTGTAGTCCCGGTTGCTCCATCGTAGGTGCCGATGTGCCCCTGTTATGCGGCAACTGGTTCTAGCCTTTGTGTCGGTTCGGTTATCCTCTCGTAGGCGCACGCGTGCCACTGTTGTACGGCAACCTGTTCTAGCTTGTGTGTCGGTTCGGTAGCCTTCGTCTAGGCACAACTCTTTACTTAGAAGTGGCATTTATCAGCAACAGTGGGAACTATTTTCACTACAAACTTGGACGTTTTCCCACCGAGGGCGCCGCTGATACAAAAAGCCTGTAGGGCTCTGCATTTACCTAAATAAAGCACGGAGATAGGAATAATAGGAAACTGGCATAGGGCATAAAGGGAAATTAAAAGGAAATGTGCCAGAAAATGAAGGGAAGTTAATGGGAAATGTGTCACGAAATGAAGTGAAATTAAAGGGAAATGTCACTGAAATGAGGGGAAATTAAAAGGAAAATTTCCTCGAGAGTGAATATGATGTCATTGTTTTAGAAAATCGTAATAATACTATGTTAAAGCCTGATGATTTATTATAAAATGCGACCATATTTACTTCTGAAATAAATAAATTTATACATAAACAACAAATATTTTTTTACTAAACCACCTTTAACATTCATATTCATATGTAAAGTATTAGCTTAGTTATTCGAACAGTTTTTAAAGAGAAAGTCATGGATACATTGTAACCATTGGTAGATTACAAAAAGCAGCATACTATATCAAAAAATTAGATATTCGAAGTGTTGAAGTTCTAAAAATTTATTTGCAAACATATAACCATGTTTTCAATCAGTGATGAGCAAAATCTTAGGCTTCGAATAAATCTGAAGTTTGCTGATATATCTATCTCCTTTCCTCTTTAGAACATTTTCCAAAGAAGGAAAAGAGACAAACACATCGGCAAACTTCAGATTTATTCGAAGCCTAGGGTTTTGCCCATCACTGTTTTCGATTATAGTTCTATTTAATCTTCCAGTTGTAATTGGCAACGTAAGATGGCCGACGGGTCTCCCCCCTTGGCTTCATACCGCACCACGTCCCTTGCCTACCATTGCCCGGTCCCTATATTCCTATGTCCGTGGAATATAGACAATTTATTATTAAATTCTCATACATTAACAACAAATTAGTAAACTGAAACGAGGTGCATAAATGAAGGCCAGCTACCTCGACCGTAAAACACTCAAAATTTGTCGTGGAATAGTTACTTTTCTTACTGGTAGTATTTGGTAGTATTTAGGAAGTATTATATTAATATTAATATTAATACTATCAATGTATATACTGTATATATATTATTCGCAATCTTGTACCCATCGTTGATAATGTTTTATTATTATTAAAATATGGAACGTAAATGATCAAAGGATAGACAAGGAGTAGTAACGAATTTCAAAAACATGATAAGAGAAAAAAAGAAAAATGATAAAATAAGAAATTAAATTTTGTATTAAAGTTTTATATCTTCATGTATAAAGGGAGTATTGAAAAAATGTATAGTTTCATATTTAACATTTATCTAGAGAAATTTGCACGGTATCACCAGACAAATGGCAATCGTCTCTGGCTATAAACAATTTGTGTAAATTCCTTTAAAACAATGTAATGTAGCGGTCTTTATGCGTGTACAATTAATTGAATTGTAACTAAAAATAAGCGATAAACATCTGGGATGTGTCAACGAATCTTCAAAGAAAGATTTTTGTTGATTATTTAGCATGATTTTTAAGTGGTGAGGAAGGATTTCGTACTGACACAATGTATGCGATTTCCGAGTAATCTTCATAAGTTTAAAATGTTAAGTGTCCCCTGTCGATAAATGTTTAAAGAGTTCTCATAATCGGTGGGAAAATTATCATAACTGAATAAAGGAAGATCAGCTTTCCAAGTAATCGAAGACGCAGTTGTTTGAAATCGTACGATGATGATTTAGTCTATTGTTTGATATCAACAACACTGCTGTGAAAATTTCAAGTTTTGACGTGTACTAAGCTATTTTACGACGAAACGTAAAGAAATGAGGTCGTATTGAAGCTGGAACCTTTGTTTTTAGGTAATAGAATTTATTTCGATTCCTTTTGTGATATAGAACCTTTGACCTGATGATTCATATTTCATCTTCTTTTTTTTTTATCCTCTTGTAAAATAGATTATTCATAGTATCATATTCGAATTATAGTATTAATTAACTTTATATGTATTCGGATATTCTGCATATAATATTTGCAAATATAAACATAGCAATTCGGAGTCACAAAATTGAGTCACAGTGTTTATGTTTTGATATTAGTATTGTTATTATATGAATTTTAACAAATTGTATAGTACAATGTTTATTATGGTTTTGTTTGTATAAGTTGCTGTTAAAGGAATGCATCCAATCTTGCATATTTTAACATGATTTTATGGAGAAAGCATGCAATTATTGATTATTAATAAGTAATAATGTAAAATGTAATTTGTAAATGACACAAAGATGTACACTTTACTGTTGGTTTATTAGATTTGTCTTTTCTTTTATGTAGTCTTTATGATAAAAGTATATAAATTTGTAAGAACGTGTTCGTTAAACATTGTAAATAATTTAAAAATATTCAACAGCCATAATTTTCATTTTGTAGTAATTCATGGCTAATTGCTTACTTTAGATACAGTATATAGTGTATGTATTTGCTTATTAGGTGCGTTGGAACATAGATAGTGTTGCTGTTCATCTCTTCGAGTACAAGTATCTCTATGATGTTTTCATCAGGTCTTAGTTGTAATCTCTCCTTCCCCAGTTGCCTGGGTTCCCCACAGGACAGTGAAGAATTAATACCAAAAATGGCTCGTGAGCCAATAATTCTTAACGTCTATGATATGGTAAGAATCTAAATTCTTCAATTTTCATTAGTACTACTACGAATTAACAAACTCTATATTTCAGTATTGGATGAATGAATATACTACACCTATAGGATTGGGTGTGTTTCATTCAGGAGTAGAGATATATGGAACAGGTACATATATATGCATAAAAAAAAAAAAGTAAAAGCTAAAAACATAATTAAACATATTAATTTTTTTAATAGAATATGCATATGGAGGCCATTCTAGACCAATTTCTGGTATATTTGAAATTACACCGCGTGTTGCTGATGAACTAGGAGATCAATTTAGATATAGGTGAATGCATTTTTTTAAACACAAAGTACTTTTTGGAAGAAAAATAAATTTATGTAAATTCTATTTAACATGTTCTTCTTGTTTATAGGCAATCAGTACATATTGGTTATACAGATTTCACGGAAGAAGACGTGAACAGAATTGTTGCTGAATTAGGAAAAGATTTTAGGGGCGATCGTTATCATTTAATGAACAAAAATTGTAATCACTTCAGTAGCCAACTTACACTCGTACGTATATAAAATCGTGATGTTATTGTTGTCTATGGAAGTTATACTAATTAATTTTATTTTAAATTGCAGATTTTATGTGGTCAAGGAATACCAGGTTGGGTAAATCGTCTTGCGTACTTTAGTTCTTGTGTACCATTCCTTCAGCGTTGTTTACCAAAGGAATGGTTAACTCCTGACGCGCTTCAACATTCTTTGATCAGCTATCATGAAAGCACACCGCCTTCCGATACTTCCTTGTAACATTTAGCTCATTCTGTGGAAAGGAGAGGTCTAAAATGCCGTAGGAGTTACACCTTTTAGAGAATTTATGCAACAAACAAAGGAAGTTTGAACAGTGAATATATACATCGCCAGGATCATGGAATCCAAGAAACAAAACCGTCAAAATGAGGTACAAATTTAACATTGTACTAATGAATTCCACTGGTGATTAATAGTGCTGAAAGAATTGCGTTTCTTGCAAACATGTCGTCTTCTAAACATTGGACGGCGGTATACAATGTCGCGTGTGTTCTTTGTTGTATTATACAGTCGAAGTTTAATAGATATATAATTAAATAGGTAATTACATATAAATCAAAGCCGCAAAGAGACTGGAAGTAATTCGTTTATCGGTTAATCGCATAAATTTCTAATAAAAATTTTCTGTGGCTGAGATTTTCTGCATGCAGTTGCTTTTATTTTGTATTAAAATTGAGGATTAATATTTGTGCAAAGATTTTAGAGCGCATCGCATAGATCATTAAAATGATATATTTACATATTCAACTTGTATACTATATTTTAGATATATTCTGTGATGTTTCTCTAAACATTCGTTCATTTGTTTTACTCGTTTATTATTATTGTGTATATTATTTATTTATATATATATATATAAATGACACCTCTGTACAGCTGCCATTAATATTGTTAAAACCTTTAAATGAACAATGAATTTAATAAATATTAACATTCATACGTAATCGAACAAGTTACATATAACTTGTTTTTCATATATAATTTAATGAAAATGTGTTTTCCGCGAGTACTTTTATAAAAAAAAAAAAGAATCACGTTCATAATTTTATAAGTAAGATATTCTGATTGATAGTACATGATACGGAGGTCAAATTCTGAAAAAGTGCTCTTGCATTTTGCACAACATAGGATTAAATACAGAAGCATTATAATTTCAAAGGCTTTTGCCGGATATGTATTCAAATGAGTTCTTTTCAAATATGTATGGTATACAAAAAAAAATTACTAATGTTGCTAATAAAAACTGTTGTTGATGTCAAATTTATAATGTTATGTGTTAAAAAAATTCATAAAGCAATTTGACTATGATATAAATATTTGAAAGCGAAATAAATTCTAGTAAATATTTTATCATAAAAATTCAATAATAATTAGTACCATCTAAATTTTTTATTAATTCAATCTTTACGAACAATATTAGGAATTCACACGTTGCAGATAATTCGAATAGATATTATTAATCATTAAATAATATATTATATTCAATGTTAATGCGTGAATACCTTCGAGTGGATAATTTGTAAAAAAAAAAACTTTAGGATAATTTTTCCATCGTCTTCTGTAAAAAAAATCTCAGCATGGAAAATATTAAGTACATTTTATTTAAATAATTACATTATACGAAAATCCCTTTTAAGATAAAATTTAGAGTTAGTTTGGAATACTGAAATTATTTAGTATGTTAATGTATACAACATAATAAAGTTTATAAATCTAAACTTATATGCTTCTGTGCGGTATATTTAAACAAAATTTCTTACCAGTGTAAGTAATATGTATTATATTTGCGAAAACGGTATGGAAAACGATTAGTCAATACCAATATCTTATAGATGAAAGCATATTAAATTGTATATTCCTTACTGACGGTTATGCTAATTACGAATATAACGTCATAGAATGGATTACTTCGCGATATAGAAATAGCATACTAAAATAATAAAGTAATACAAAGCACAATATACAGTATAAGTACAAAGCTTGTGTAACTTTCTAAATGATCTTTTTTATAATGATGTTTCAGTTTGTTGTTTTGATAGGGAATTTCTTCTTACTGTTAATGGTTTCTTTTTAAATAATAAAAATTCTAATAACTACCATTTGCCTTATTCATTGCAGTAACAACTAAAGATAAAGGATATCCTACATGAATTACAAACTGCATCAGTCAGTCAATACATTTTTTATGGTTATATTCTTTATCATACTATAATTCATTCAATGTTCCGTCATTAGCGCGTAATACTTTTAACCAGTAAACAAATTGTATTCACAAATAATTTATGATACGTACAAGCTTTTTAGTTTATTAATATATTTCCTATACACAAGAAAATTGTATTGTTTCCTTATATGTCAGTGAACAATGAATTTTAGAAAAGAATGTATATATTCTCCCACGATTGTTGAAGATTTTTGCATGAAACAAAATTATGTAAGACATAAAAAATATAAATATTAGCAAATTTACAAAACTCATTCTTTATGAGGTTATATCTTATAAACATAAAAGTTTGGTCTTTCTTCTCACTGTAACAGCGCGTTCTTAATAATTTATAACGAAATACAATTCTCCATTTAAAATGCGAATAGTTGCTTGCAATTGTTTTTAATAAATATCGTAAATAATGCACATATTAGTTATAAATAAGTTCATAATATAGAATACACTAAACTAAGTTGCTAGAAAAAAAAAGATGATTAATAGTCAGGTCATTACATGCACTGGTACTAAACCAATGGGATATTATAAATCATTATTAACGGTTACAGAAAAGTATTCTAACAGTTCGTAAAAAAGTAAACTATCGAATCATACAATCTATGTATGGATACGTTTTATCGTTCTATTATCGTGCAGAATGCCGGTCGTATATTTTGATTACGCATAAAAAGAAAGCATAATTATTGCGCAGTTGTTTTTTTTTTACATATTACAAAAGATGTACTTAAAATTTTCGGTTTCGTGTATATGTATGTGCACGCCAAACAAAAGAAAAAAAAAGTACAAGAAGAATTAAAGGATCTAAAATCAAGTTGAAATTGCGAGCTTATTTAGAAATTTAATTATTTACAAAAATATAAAATCAATGCTATACAAAGTGACTATTTCTTCGTATGTTATTATCTATAGACAAGACTTGGTTCGAAGACAAGGCAACATAAGACAAACAGATGCGTCTTTGATTTTAGAACCCTTAAGTAACAATGGCGAAAGATAGGCGAAAATGATTGATTTCCGTTGGTAAGTACAATAACACGTACGTTACTATAATTTATAAACATACCTCGATTACACGTCTAGAATAGTTCTAGAACTCATTTTTTAAACTTTTATTTTATTCCGATACGGACAGCAATACCTGTATTATTATTTCTTTGTTCGATAACATTAACACGTTTCTTCTATTAACGGTTTCGTCTATACTGTAATATAAGAATGTCAAACCTATTGCGTCGATATATATAATATATATATATATATATACTTTATTTATAATATATATTCTCGTGTCTTACCATTATACAAATGTGATGAAGACGACGTTTCATGGTTTTTCTTTTTTGGTATTATTATTCATATTGTAGTTGCATTATGTTAACATTGTTGTCTATCAACGATGACTTTATTTTCAAAGAGTTGGAACTTCGGTTTTTTTATACGTATTCGACGTGGTTTTACGAAAATAAAAAATTGAATTACACGGAATGTAATGTGTCAATATTTTTACCAGTAACATTTTCAATATTCCATAAAATTTTCGATAGCTTCTAAACTTTTTCCGTTAAAATTCGTTATAAATATATGAAAATTTCAAATGCAAGATTTAAATTCAGAATTATTATTTTTTACACATATTTAATTTTTGTGTATTTAACAGTTGAAGTGATACTGTATTAATCATTGGCTCTTCATACAACTGTACGACATGCCCAAACACTTTAAGCCAAAGAACTACATTCAATCCCCGTAACATTTTGTATAATCAAGCAACTCGGGATTCTTGACCATTAAATGTTATTCCATATTTTCAACTACTGGCATAGAATCCTGAGACAGATATTTTTGTTTTACCAACTCTTTTCTTCTAGTATAGTTAGCAAATTTTTATAAATGTACATGAAAAATGTATATATTTTATACATTAAAACATATAAAATTTGTATGATGTCTGTGTATTTGTTGGAATTTCATTCTTGTTCGCTCTAGTCTTACATCTATAAAACGAATTGAATGCAACTGATTAACCGTTAGGTAGTCACTACAATTTAAAAGTAACATGTAATTTTTTTGGATTAGTTAATTTTTAAATGTTTTAATATAAAAGTAATAAAGGTGCTGTAGTATCGTATGGCATTTATGGTACCGTCTTAAAACACTTGCAAAAAGATTATCTGGTTCGAACTAAGCGGTATAATTATAATCTTTGTTTAGTTTTCGATACTGTTGTCAGTCGTTATGCGCTACACTTGTATCCCATACTTGATCAACGTATTATTTTTTCTGTTAAATAAATTTTTATAATATTACTTGCTGATTAATGATAGCGAAAACCGTACATTTATAAGAGAAACAAAATTTTTTCGTTGCAGTAAGGATAAATCAATGTTCAACATCGCTTCTTTACTGTTGTTATAATACTCGTTTGTTTGTGTAAAAATGTATAGCCACCTTGCTTAATGACTATCTATTATCAGCAGGAGCTTCCGATACATTGCACGATTATTCTATTATTCACACGCTGAATAATATGATGCACCTTACTGCATTATGACGCAATAGAAAATATTTAGTCATAAGGCATCAGATCGATTCACATCTTTCGAAATTCGTTATGCTGCTAAGAATGATTAAGTATATAATTTACTCGAAACTATTCTTTTATACCTAGATTCAAAAGTAGGTACGATAGATTAAGTAGATTAATTCTTTTATTGCTAGATAATTTGACTGAGATTTCGATTTCGTTAAATTTAAGAAAGTTAGTCGCAATGATTAAAAATTAAAATTATGCATACAAAATCTGCATTAAAATTCAAGAAGAAACGAAAGAAACGATACCTACTTCGGTAATATATGGCATCGTAAAGCTGGCTCGTTGATCTTCAAACACAAATTATTTACAATAATTTATCATTATATTAATTATAAATTGCCTTGTTAAGTATATAACTTATTATGCATAAATTCTCGATTACCAGAAAGTTATTGCAATGCATAGTCAAAATTCAACTTAAAATAACGTATTCATCAGATCTTAAAATGTGCAACTTCTCGATCCAGCTGTACATAAAAAATATTATGCTTTTAGTTGTACATTTTTAATATGCTTTAGTGAAATGCACAATATTGAGAAATTTATTGCACAAAAATTGGAGGAAGAAGAAAGAAATGCGATAACTTTCCAGCTGAAAAAAAAAACAAACACGGATGTCGTTTTGCGTAAAGATATTACCATAAATACTGTAATCCTATCACACGATTACAGTAACTTATATCCGTATCGTTAAAAGTGTTCAATTTTTTACGAATCATACGAAGACGAACCGTGATCGTGAGCGGGACTTGGAGGCGTCGATGGATTTGAACTGTTGTTTGAAGCTATTGAATGTCTAGGACTACCACCAGAGGTGTGTTCCTGTGTCAACGAAACCATAAATCTTCGTATTGGATTCATTAATTTTAATTTAATACAAACAAGAAAATAAATACCTTGTCGTGTAAAGATGCGATACTACCAAGAGATAGTGGAGTATGTGATCGTAGATGTACGGATTCTGAATCAACTTGGTCCACAGGAGTACGTGGTAACGAAGGTGGAGTAGCAGTTGGCCGTGGAGGTGCCGGTCCTCTACGTGATGATGTTGAGCCTAAGAGAAATCACGTTTTATATATTAAGAAAGAAGAAGAAATAAGTTTGTTAAAACAAAAAATTCAGAATTATGAATATACCATTATGCGGGGAGTATCCAGAATTTCTAGATATATGAGAACTTAGTCGTCGCGTATCAGAAGGAGGGTGCCTGGGAGGTAACGGCGCTGGTTTGCTTGGCGTTTGATATGCAGGACCGTATAACTAAATAAAAAATTAAATGAATACGACGTTAGGAATAATATTATATACAATATACAAGAAAAAATATAACAAACTCCTGTTCTTTGTTGACCACTGTGAAGATGAGAAGTACTGTGATGACCACTGTGTTGCTGATCGGCTGTTTCGAGTGTTGTAGGCAAATCTAGTAATCGCTGTATCTGTAATGAAATATAAATCATGTATGGAGAAGTTTGTGCATTAGTAGGAGTATAGTCGGAGTTAATGAAATTGAAGTAAGATCCTACCTGTATTCCATTACCTGGACCCATGTGACTGATATGATTAAAATTCGTCGGAGCAGATATCATTTTAGAGCGTCTGTCTGTAGGGCGAACAGCCCTGTTTCCTTCTCTTAATGAAAATCTTCGTCGCGGTCTTGTCATTTGTCTACCGCTTGCGTCTAGTGGTGTTAAATTGAGTAATTCTCCTATTGTACCGCACAGAATTCATACCCCGTTTGATAATATCATGTTCAGTAAGATATAAACTAATTTATATTTACAAAATATACTCACGTTGGTGTAAATTGCTCAGAAAAATAACATGCGGCATATCGTTAATGGCACACGACGTTAAAGAACCGGAAGTGTTCAGTGGTCGTGCTCGTTTCACGTTGAGTGTTTGCAACCAGTCTCCAGTTGTACAATCAAACACGTCGATGTGAGTCTCACTATAAACTAGTAAGTAACCTTCACAGTAGCCTGTAATATAAATGAATGTAGTACATAGTGATAATCAAATTTGAATCTTAACATTAAAAGTATACTTACTAACTGCTGTAGGAACAGCAGGATACATAATTTCACGATCTCGGCTCTTTCTGCCTTGGCTGTCGACATATACTGCCAATGTATGGAAGACTAATAAGAATTCACCACGTGGTAATTCAATGCAACGTAAAGCATCCACAGCACTATACGTGAGAAAACCTAAGAGTGTATTCTCAGAATGGACCAATGCTGGATTGAAAGAAAGAATTAATATATTATCCGCGTATTAAATATGGATATGATTTTTTTTTAATTATATTTATGCTCACAAATAGGGTGATGGTCTCCTAAAATGCTGTAGATGGAAAAGCCGGAAGGATATCCGACACAGAAGCGACCTTCAGAGAGAACTTGTAAAGTTTGTGCGTGGCATGGTAACATTAATTCACGTATACGTTTATGACGTGTTTTCATACGTGTTATTTCATAGATAATTACTTGTGATGCATTCTAAATTAGAGAAAGTAACATTGAGAACATGAGATCTGTTACATTAACACCGCAATATTACATTAAAACATGTCTTACCTGCTTCTTTATGGCGACACACAAACAATATGTTAACGGACTACGACGTACTACACCCGTTGTTAGAGTGATACATCCTTTAGTTTCTGCAACTTTAATCCATTCAACTTCATCTCCATCTAATGCACGTACTGGAACCAGCCGTACATGACGTTGTTTTCCACTTAAAACTACAATTAATTGTTCTTCTGTTACATATTCCAATAAGTATATTTTCTTGCCTTCTCCAACTCTTGCAATTTCTAAAAATATGACATAAATTAGACACACTAATATATAGTTCTTCTTTTTAAATTTATACAATGGAAGTATAACATACCACTACGATCTAAATCTAAACAGAAGAGACCTTCTTCTGTGCCAATGACTAGACGATCTGGATCAATAATTGCTCCTGACATCACATTTTTAATGAGCGCCAATGTATTATCTAATAATTCTTTTGCTCTAAAAATCTGCGTGGAAACAATAGACGATATAATAAAGTTGCGTTACGTTTTTATATTATTAATTCACGAATTCGACTTACCGTTGTATTAGGAAGATTGTTTTTCTTTAGTATTCTATGCAGTTCACTCAAAGCAACTACCCACTTTGTTTTCTCACTTTCAGTGTCTGCAAGCATTAACGTGTGATTCCTTAAACCAGGCGGTTCTAGTAAAGATGTTGTTATCTAAAGAAATTTATAAGAATAAATCATACAGAAGCGAGTAAAGATACTGTGTAATAACCAAAGTACGAAAATTACCCTAAATATGCACGGAATGTCTTTCTTCGTAGCGTGTATGACATCCGAATCTCGAACGGAACTAACGCTAAATTCTTCATCCCGCATGTCTAAGACTTGTGACACATACACAGATGGCAATGCATTACGATCTGGTGAAATGTCGTAAAGAAATAATTTGAAGTCGCAAACGACCACGAATTGACGAACCCAACCCTTTTTAACTCCACCCATTTTTGGCACTTTGACATACCCTTCGTAAGCTGTACCTATACCCCGTGTGGGATCAATACCCAGTGGCCGTTTCGCTACGAAAAATAGTTTATTATTGCTGCATTCGATAGTTGAAACTTTGAATTAAATGATATAGCGTGTAACTTACTTTGATCATGGGGCACAGGACACATTGGTGGAACTTTATCGCAACAGGGCATATGGCATGCAAAGCCGCAAACTTCGCATACTACTCCTTGCCTTGTTAAACCCACCATCAACGAAGTGCAATGGTTACATTTTGTAGGTGCAGAGAATGTTCGTACTAAAAATTGATGCGATTTTGGTTTTGGTTGAAGATTGGGTTGCCCATGAGGCACCGACGATTTATTCAGTAGTTCATGGGATAACGGTGATGTTGGATCCTATAATTCAATAAATATTAAGTGTAATTAAATATTAATATCTAATATAACGTCAGTTAAAAAAAAAAAAAAAAATACTTACAATGCTAAGTTCGGACAAATTACTTTTACTGCTGGAAATACTTGGTGCACGATTATCCTCAATATCAGCTTCTACGCTATCTGCACTTCCATGACGCGTACTGCTTGCTGTTTCTTTCAAAAAATGTTCCAAATATGACATTTGAGATGTAGGACGTTCTAAAACTGAAATAGAGAAAGGAAGCATTAAGAAGATAATAATGTAATTCGTGATATTCGTTTAAATCGTACAAAATTGTAATTATTTTTTCATTGCTAAAATAATGAAAAAACAGATAGAAAATTTATATATACTATTCGTTAAGATATACCTAGAATGAACTTGTAAAAAGTAAGAAATTATGTTCATCATTTTTACACAAGTATGTTTTAATCATTGCGAGCATTGCAATACCTTTTTCCAAACATTTTAATGTAATCACTCCACTGCAATTTGCACCACACAAAGTCTGTTAAAGTAGTGATCGTTATTGTGTATATAAGGATTGATACTCAATTGTTTACCAGCAGAAATAGCAAGCATATCATAAAATGTACCAAAGTCAATCAGATCAAACAATCTAAAGCCCAAAACATTCAGGCACAACATACCTGTTAATCATTTAATAACAAAACTGAACGATTATCAGCTACTAAGATTAACAAAGGACAACCACCACCTAAAAAACGATGAAGATCTACTAACGCTATCCATAATTGGGGAACGATTATTTTCAACATACAAGGAAACACATAGTTGGTTTCTTTGGTAATAGACATAAAAATCAACACAGAGCTATGTTTTAAATCAAATGGAGTAGTACAGTGTTTCTCAAACTCCACATATCCGCGGACCCCTAGAGTACACCTTGAAACTTTTTAATACCATTTAATAATTAAGTATTTCTTTTTATTGACGGTATTAACAATTCTTTACTACAATCTTACAGATAACACTGTCTCATTGCACTCGAGAAATTTAATAAAATTTGCTAGTTTGGTATTACTTTTAATAGAAGCAAAATGAGAAGTAACGAATCACGAAGAAGCAGTTTCCACTACTAACAACAGAGAACTTTCCAATGGATGATTTTAAACTAGTTTTTTACACTCTGTTGAGTCCCCAGAAGTCTGCAAGTTCAGAAACAGTGTTCTAGCAGATTTGATGTTTGTTTTAAAATCTACGCAACGTTCACATTCATGTTGGCATTGCATCGTGGACTCGTGTGTCAGTAAGTTAAGAAACATAGCACTGTGCTTTGCAATTAGCAACTCAGCCGACCAGTCAATCAAAATCGCGTTTTTGGTGCCACTTCATTTACCAGGTGGCGATACGATGGCGACGGCATTCTGACTGATGAATGTGTTGACGGGAACGAATCTAGTTAATAAGCGACATGTCGTGACGCGGGGAGCACGCATTACTGGTAGGGGTGACGACGGCTGATGTACGATGATGCGTTGGGGTTTGGTGCTAACGATGTTTGGAGATTTGCTTGACGTTTTGCTGGATAGGACAGCTGTCACAAATACAGTTTGAAGATGAGCAACAAGAGGCCCCAGACACAGCTCGTTACGCCAATAAACAGAGGCACTTTGTAGTCTAGAAATCAGAATTGCATACCGTACCGGAGAACCGAATTACTATGCTGGACAGATATCCCAGTAGCAACGATCTC